CCCCTTTGGCTGCCATGCATGGAGCACGCCTGCTCTCCCCTCCTGCTTGGAGTCTCAAAAACAGCCCTCCCCTTGGCTGAGAGGCCGGCCAATCACAGCGCAGTAGGGAGGGCGTTCAGTGGGGGAGTCAACGTTCACGCCTGCTCTCCACTCCCCATTCTGAGTTTCAGAAACAGCCCTCCCCTTGGCTGCCATGCATGGAGCACGCCTGCTCTCCCCTCCCACTTGGAGTCTCAAAAAGAGCCCTCCCCTTGGCTGAGAGGCCGGCCAATCACAGCGCAGTAGGGAGGGCGTTCAGTGGGGGAGTCAACGTTCACGCCTGCTCTCCACTCCCCATTCTGAGTTTCAGAAACAGCCCTCCCTTTGGCTGCCATGCATGGAGCACGCCTGCTCTCCCCTCCTGCTTGGAGTCTAAAACAGCCCTCCCCTTGGCTGAGAGGCCGGCCAATCACAGTGCAGCAGGGAGGGCGTTCAGTGGGGGAGTCAACGTTCACGCCTGCTCTCCACTCCCCATTCTGAGTTTCAGAAACAGCCCTCCCCTTGGCTGCCATGCATGGAGCACGCCTGCTCTCCCCTCCCACTTGGAGTCTCAGAAACAGCCCTCCCCTTGGCTGAGAGGCCGGCCAATCACAGCTCAGTAGGGAGGGCTTTTGGTGGGTGAGGAGCACGCCTGCTCTCCCCTTCCCACTTGGAGTCTCAGAAACAGCCCTCCCCTTGGCTGAGAGGCCGGCCAATCACAGCGGAGGAGGGCTTTTCAGTGGGGGAGTCAACGTTCACGCCTGCTCTCCACTCCCCATTCTGAGTTTCAGAAACAGTCCTCCCCTTGGCTGCCATGCATGGAGCACGCCTGCTCTCCCTTCCCCACTTGGAGTCTCAAAAAGAGCCCTCCCCTTGGCTGAGAGGCTGGCCAATCACAGTGCAGCAGGGAGGGCCTTTTGTGGGGGGGGGGATTCACCATTCATGCCTGCTCTCCACTCCCCATTCTGAGTTTCAGAAACAGCCCTCCCCTTGGCTGCCATGCATGGAGCACACCTGCTCTCCCCTCCCTGCTTGGAGTCTCAAAAACAGCCCTCCCCTTGGCTGAGAGGCCGGCCAATCACAGCGCAGTAGGGAGGGCGTTCAGTGGGGGAGTCAACGTTCACGCCTGCTCTCCACTCCCCATTCTGAGTTTCAGAAACAGCCCTCCCCTTGGCTGCCATGCATGGAGCACGCCTGCTCTCCCCTCCTGCTTGGAGTCTCAGAAACAGCCCTCCCCTTGGCTGAGAGGCCGGCCAATCACAGCGCAGCAGGGAGGGCGTTCAGTGGGGGAGTCAACGTTCACGCCTGCTCTCCACTCCCCATTCTGAGTTTCAGAAACAGCCCTCCCCTTGGCTGCCATGCATGGAGCACGCCTGCTCTCCCCTTCCCACTTGGAGTCTCAGAAACAGCCCTCCCCTTGGCTGAGAGGCCGGCCAATCACAGCTCAGTAGGGAGGGCTTTTGGTGGGTGAGATTCATCGTTCACAACTGCTCTCCCCTCCCCATTCTCAGTTTCAGAAACAGCCCTCCCCTTGGCTGAGAGGCCAGTCAATCACAGCGCAGTAGGGAGGGCTTTTGGTGGGGGGGGGGATTCACCAAGCATGCCTGCTCTCCCCTCCCCATTCTCAGTTTCAGAAACATCCCTCCCCTTGGCTGCCATGCATGGAGCACACCTGCTCTCCCTTCCCCACTTGGAGTCTCAAAAAGAGCCCTCCCCTTGGCTGAGAGGCTGACCAATCACAGTGCAGCAGGGAGGGCCTTTTGTGGGGGGGGGATTCACCATTCACGCCTGCTCCCCCCTCCCCATTCTGAGTTTCAGAAACAGCCCTCCCCTTGGCTGCCATGCATGGAGCACACCTGCTCTCCCCACCCCTGCTTGGAGTCTCAGTCCTCCCCTTGGCTGAGAGGCCGGCCAATCACAGCGCAGTAGGGAGGGCGTTCAGTGGGGGGATTCAATGTTCACGCCTGCTCCCCCCTCCCCATTCTGAGTTTCAGAAACAGCCCTCCCCTTGGCTGCCATGCATAGAGCACGCCTGCTCTCCCCACCCCTGCTTGGAGTCTCAGCCCTCCCCTTGGCTGAGAGGCCGGCCAATCACAGCGCAGTAGGGAGGGCGTTCAGTGGGGGAGTCAACGTTCACGCCTGCTCTCCACTCCCCATTCTGAGTTTCAGAAACAGCCCTCCCCTTGGCTGCCATGCATGGAGCACGCCTGCTCTCTCCTCCCCACTTGGAGTCTCAAAAACAGCCCTCCCTTTGGCTGAGAGGCCGGCCAATCACAGCAGAGGAGAGTCTGTTTCCAAAAAGGAAGAGAAGACCAGGCGGAGAGATCTTCGGCCTTCTCTGCCAAAGGGGTTCCTAAAGTCATCAGAAATATATGTTTTCTGATGGTCTTTGGTGCCCCCTCTGAAACCCTCTCATGACCCCCAGGTTGAGAAACCTGGGGGTCATGAGAGGGTCAGACCTCCTTCCGACTCCAGACTTGCTCCTATCAGGATTCCCAAGCACGCATTTGCAATCCGAAAGGGCTAACAAAGCCCCAACAACACGTTCCCCTTTTATATTCACAACTCAGACAAAAGCAGGAACAAGATGCCACACACATCGAAGAAAAGAACAAGACAGCCTTGGAGGCAGATGGGTGAAGGAAGAGATTAGAGCGGTGTTGTGCTGAATCGCAGCCGAGGGATCTGACTCAGCGCAAAAAAGCCCTTATCTTGGACGGGAATTGAGCTCCCTGGGTGCAGATAAGCAGGGGACTTTCTTAAGAAGGTGGATTCCTGCAACATACTAAGTAGTGTAAAGATAGAAACAGCAACAACCACAACAGGCACCATGGATACAAAGGGCCCATTGCATGGCTTGTTGTGAGTTTTGCCGTGTTCCAGAAGCATTCTTTCTGAAGTTTCACCTGTATCTATTGCAGGCATCCTAAGAAGTTGTGATGTCTGTTGGAAACTAGGCAAGGGAGGTTTACATATCAAAGGATTCCCCCAAGCAGGAAGCTGCTCTATATAACTGTGGAATATCCAGGGTGGGAGAAAGAACTCTTGTCTGTTTGAGTTAGGTGTTAATGTTTCAACTGGCCACCTTAATCAGCATTTAATGGCCTAGCAGGCTTCTTTATCTCTGGGGGAATCCTTTGTTGAGTGGTGATTAGCTGGCCCTGATTGTTTCTTGTCTTATCTTCAAAGACTGGTTGCTTCCTGCCTGGGGGAATCCTTTGTTGGGAACCTAATCAAGGTGACCAATGGCAACATTCACACTTCTCTCCAACATACAAGAGTTCTTTCTCCCACCCTGGACATCCCATAGATATATAAACAAATTTCAAAACCTGGCTACTTCCTGCCTGGGGGAATCCTTTGTTGGGATGCTAATCAAGGTGGCCAATGACAGCATTCACACTTGCCTCTAGGAGACAAGAGTTATTTCTCCCACCTTGGGCATCATTCCACAGCTATATAAACAAACTTCAAAGAATGGCTACTTCCTGCCTGGGGGAATCCTTTGTTGAGATGTGATTAGCTCGCCCTGATTGTTTCTTGTCTTGTCTTCTGAGCCTGGTTGCTTCCTGCCTGGGGGAATCCTTTGTTGAGATGTGATTAGCTGGCCATGATTGTTTCTTGTCTTATCTTCAAAGACTGGTTGCTTCCTGCCTGGGGGAATCCTTTGTTGGGATGCTAATCAAAGTGGCCAATGGTAACATTCACACTTCTCTCCAACATACAAGAGTTCTTTCTCCCACCCTGGACATCCCATAGATATATAAACCAGCTTCAGTGCCTGGCTACTTTCTGCCTGGGGGAATCCTTTGTTGGGATGCTAATCAAGGTAGCCAATGACAACATTCACACTTGCCTTCAGCAGACAAAGAGTTCTTTCTCCCACCTTGGGCATCATTCCACAGCTATATAAACAAACTTCAAAGAATGGCTACTTCCTGCCTGGGGGAATCCTTTGTTGAGAGGTGATTAGCTCGCCCTGATTGTTTCTTGTCTTGTCTTCTGAGCCTGGTTGCTTCCTGCCTGGGGGAATCCTTTGTTGAGATGTGATTAGCTGGCCCTGATTGCTTCTTGTCTTGTCTTTAAAGCCTGGTTGCTTCCTGTCTGGGGGAATCCTTTGTTGGGATGCTAATCAAAGTGGCCAATGGTAACATCCACACTTCTCTCCAACATACAAGAGTTCTTTCTCCCACCCTGGACATCCCATAGATATATAAACCAGCTTCAATGCCTGGCTACTTTCTGCCTGGGGGAATCCTTTGTTGGAATGCTAATCAAGGTAGCCAATGACAACATTCACACTTGCCTTCAGCAGACAAAGAGTTCTTTCTCCCACCTTGGGCATCATTCCACAGCTATATAAACAAACTTCAAAGCCTGGCTACTTCCGGCCTGGGGGAATTCTTTGTTGGGATGCTAATCAAAGTGGCCAATGGTAACATTCACACTTCTCTCCAACATACAAGAGTTCTTTCTCCCACCCTGGACATCCCATAGATATATAAACAAATTTCAAAACCTGGCTACTTCCTGCCTGGGGAAATCCTTTGTTGGGATGCTAATCAAGGTGGCCAATGACAACATTCACACTTGCCTTCAGCAGACAAAGAGTTCTTTCTCCCACCTTGGACATCATTCCACAGATATATAAACAAACTTCAAAGCCTGGCTACTTCCGGCCTAGGGGAATCCTTTGTTGGGATGCTAATCAAGGTGGGCAATGGCAACATTCACACTTGCCTCAAGCAGACAAGAGTTCTTTCTCTCACCCTGGACATCATCCCATTTTCCCAGTTTCCAACAGACCTCACAATCTCTGCCATAGATGTGGGTGAAATGTCAGGAGAAAGTGTTTCCGGAACATGGCCATACAGCCCGAAAAACACAACAACCCAGTGATTCCGGCCATCAAAGCCTTTGACAGTACATGACCCACTGTATATTTGTATTTCCAATCTCAAACCAAGACAGCAAATACTTACGATCCAGTCCATTCAAGTAGCGCATGCGGATTTCGCAATGGCCCCACACGGCGCTCACCACTGGGTAAAGTTTCTTCCCTTTCAGCCCACGGAAGGCCACCCCCATGTACTGGCCATCCACCACGAAACTCAGCGTCCCATCGTCCATGTCCAGCACCACCAAGAAGGAGTCCGGCACCACGAAGGTCTCGTCGGGCTCCAGGAAGGCCGGGTAGGTCTTGCCAGGCTGGTTCTTGCCGTCGTGGTAGAGCCGGTTGCGCCCCAGGTCCCAGCCCCAGGACTCGTGGTTATTTCCTACCAGCGTTGTGTAACCCACAGAGTGCAATGGGGCCTCGGCTGTAGCCACCCCAACGACAGCATGGGTGCCCCGCTGGCGCATGGCCCAGGTGATCTGCCAGACGTGGAGCCCCCGCGTGTAGCCCACTTTGCCCCGGATGGCATCCGTGCTCTGGGCCACCGGGTGCCGGTGGAAGATGAGCTTGTCGTCCTCCTTCACAAAGACGTTGAGCGACCGGTCGTCGTTGTTCCACGAGTGTGTCAACTGTGCCTCGTAGGAGGCCGACGGCATGTCCAAAAGTAAGTCCAGCCGGGCCGGCTTGCAGTAGTCCAAGCTCTGAAGCGCCTGCTTCAACGGTCGGTAAGCCGGGTCCCGCATATCCACCGTCTTGATGCCGCCGGTCACTTTCTGTCCCATCCTGTCTCTTGATGGGTCACCTATTCACGGTCATCAACCAAGCTTCCTCCTTCTTCACCTATCGATGCTCATCAACGGACTTTTCGCATTGGTCATCCAGGACTCGGATGGAAAGAGGAAAGGTTGCTATGAAACAAGGCTGAGAGGATGCGGCCGCTGGTCAAGATTGCCTAATGGACGGAAAGAAAAGTTAAACATTAAAAGAAGGACGCGTAGGAAGACCGACGGTGATCTGCTGACATGACAAATATGGCCGCTGGCAGAACGGTACAGTTGCCATCGCCTTCTGTTGGAAGGGTTGCCATGTTCTGAGATGGAATGATTCATATCCCTCAACAAAAAGGTTCTAGGTTCTAAAACAGTGGTTCTCAACCTTCCTAATGCCGCGATCCCTTAATACGGTTCCTCATGTGTGGTGACCCCCCCAACCATAACATTATTTTCGTTGCTACTTCATAACTGTTATGACCTCTGAGGAAGCTTGCCATAGATGCAGGCGAAACGTCAGGAGAAATGCTTCTAGAACATGGCCAAAAAAAACCCACAAGAACTGAGATTTTTTAATACTGGTAGCCAGAGTTTGTTCATTTTTATTGTTTTTTCTTTTCTGTTGAAATTGTCCAGGTAATCACCTCCCAACAAAGGATTCCCCCAGGCGGTAAGAAGTCACATCTAGGCCATTAATTGCTAATCAAGGTGGCCAATTGAAATATTCGCACCTACCTCAAACACTCAAAAACAGGGGGATTCCAGACAAGAATCTATCAGGGTGAGCTAATCGCCTCCCAACAAAGGATTCCGCCAGGCGATAAGAAGCCGAATCTTGAAACTGCTGGCCATTAAATGCTAATCAAGGTGGTCAATTGAGATATTCGCACCTACCTCAAACACTCAAAAACAGGGGGATTCCAGACGAGAATCTATCAGGGCGAGCTAATCGCCTCCCAACAAAGGATTCCCCCAGGCGGTAAGAAGTCACATCTTGAAACTGTTAGGCCATTAAATGCTAATCAAGGTGGTCAATTGAGATATTCGCACCTACCTCAAACACTCAAAAACAGGGGAATTCCAGACAAGAAACTATCAGGGCGAGCTAATCACCTCCCAACAAAGGATTCCCCCGGGCGATAAGAAGCCGAATCTTGAAACTGCTAGGCCATTAAACGCTAATCAAGGTGGTCAATTGAGATATTCGCACCTACCTCAAACACTCAAAAACAGGGGAATTCCAGAAAAGAAAGTATCAGGGTGAGTTAATTGCCTCCCAACCAAGGATTCCCCCAGGCGGTTAGAAGCCACATCTTGAAACTGTTAGGCCATTAAATGGTAATAAAGGTGGCCAATTTAGATAATTCGCACCTACCTCAAACACTCAGAAACAGGGGAATTCCAGACAAGAAAATATCAGGGCGAGCTAATCACCTCCCAACAAAGGATTCCCCCAGGCGGTAAGAAGTCACATCTTGAAACTGCTAGGCCATTTTGCTACTGTTATGAATTGTAATGTAAATATCTGATATACAGGATATATTTTCATTCAATGGACCACATTTGGCACAAATACCAGATACACCCAAATTTGAATTCTGGTGGGCCTGCGGGGGGAACTGAGTTTGTCATGTGGAAGTTGTAGTTGCTGGGATTTACAGTTAACTAACCTATAATCAAAGAGCATTCTGAACTCCACCAACGATGGAATTGAACCAAACTTGGCACATAGTAAAGGTTTCCCCTGACATTAAGTCCAGTCGTGTCTGACACTGGGGGTTGGTGCTCATCTCCATTTCTAAGGAAAAGAGCCGGCGTTGTCCGTAGACACCTCCAAAGTAATGTGGCCGGCATGACTGCATGAGGTGCCGTTACCTTCATATTTGCATGTTTTAGAACTGCTAGGTTGGCAGAAGCTGGGGCTAACAGCGAGAGCTTACATCGCTCCTCGGATTCTAACCTGCGTGGGATAGTGCGCTACCGGGGACTACAAAAGAAGCGAATCTTACAAAACATAAAGACTGAACAGCCCACAACAGTAAGAATGGAATACGTGAGAATGTGCAGATGAAACCCTGTTAATCTTTAAAGTGCTCCAAGGCTCTCTCTTTGTATTTCCCAGAGAGGACAAAAGTTAGGCTGCACTTGGATTAGGATCGAGATAAACTAGATTGTTTGGCATCTGAAAAATATGGGCCTTGGGTTGTTGTTTTTCTTAAAGCACGTTTCGGGTCATAAAGGCTCAAGGGAGCCCTGAAGGCATGCTTGCGTTGGTTGTTGTTGTGCGACATAAGTAATCCTTGATTTATGGCTACCTTACTATGGGGCTCTCTTGGAGAGATTTACTCAGACGTTTTTTGTTTTTTTGCCTTTGCCTTCCTCTGGGGCAGAAAGAGTGTGACTTATCCAAGATCCCTGTCCGAGAACAGGAGTTGAGTGTGACATCTGTAGGCAGTCCATGTTTCGTAGGCGTAGGACAGGGTTGCGAGGATTTCTTGATCCAGTCATTTATCCATCCATCCACTCATGTGTCTACCCATATTTCCATCCATCCACCCATCTATATCTACCCGTCTGTCCATACAACCATCCACTAATGACATCTGTAGGCAGTCCATGTTTCGCAGACGTAGGACAGGGTTGGGAGGATGTCTTGATCCAGCCATATATCAATCCACCCACTCATCCATCTACCCATATTTCCATCCAACCACCCATCTATATCTACCTGTCTGTCCATAAAACCATTAACTAATGACATCTGTAGGCAGTCCACGTTTTGCAGGTGTAGAACAGGGTTGGGAGAATGTCTTCATCCAGCCATATATCTATCCATCCGCTCATCCATCTACCCATATTTCCACCCATCTATATCTACCTGTCTGTCCATACAATCATCCACTAATGACATCTGTAGGCAGTCCATGTTTCGCAGGCATAGAACAGGGTTGGGAGGACAATAGCTTTATAAAGAAGCACTTTGGTTTCCCTACGGATGTCTTGATCCAGCCATATATCTATTCATCCACCCATCTCTCCATCCATCTACTCATCCGTCTACCCATATGCCCATCCATCCACCCATCTATATCTACCTGTCTGTCCATACAACCTTCCACTAATGACATCTGTAGGCAGTCCACATTTCTCAGCCATAGAACAGGGTTGGGAGGACGATAGCTTTATAAAGAAGCACCTTGGTTTCCCTACAGATGTTTTGATCCAGCCATATTTCTATCCATCCATCCACTCATCTCTCCATCCATCTACACACCCGTCTACCCCTATTCCCATCCATCCACCCATCTATATCTACCTGTCTATCCATACAACCATTAACTAATGACATCTGTAGGCAGTCCATGTTTTGCAGGTGTAGAACAGGCTTGGGAGGATGTCTTTATCCAGCCATATATATATCCATCCGCTCATCCATCTACCCATATTTCCACCCATCTATATCTACCTGTCTGTCCATACAACCATCCACTAATAACATCTGTAGGCAGTCCACGTTTCACAGGTGTAGAACACAGTTGGGAGAACAATAACTTTATAAAGAAGCACCTTGGTTTCCCTACGGATGTTTTGATCCAACCATATATCCATCCATTCCCCCATCTCTCCATCCATCCATCCACTCATTCATCTACCCATATTGCCATCCATCCCCCCATCTATATCTGTCTGTCCATACAATCATCCACTAATGACATCTGAAGGCAGTCCACGTTTCACAGGTGTGGAACAGGGTTGGGAGGACAATAGCTGTATAAAGAAGCACCTTGGTTTCCCTACGGATGTCTTGATCCAGCCATATATCTATCCACCTGTCTGTCCATACAACCATCCACTTATGACATCTATAGGCAGTCCACGTTTCGTAGGTGTAGAACAGGGTTGGGAAGATGATAGCTTTATAAAGAAGCACTTTCGTTTCCCTACGGATGTCTTGATCCAGCCATATATCTATCCACCCATCCACCCATCTATATCTACCTGTTTGTACATACAACCATCCACTAATGCCATCTGTAGGCAGTCCACGTTTCGGAGATGTAGAACAGGGTTGGGAGGACAATAGCTTTATAAAGAGGCACCTTGGTTTCCCTACGGATGTCTTGATCCAGCCATATATCTATCCATCCATCCACCTATCTCTCCTTCCATCCACTCATCCGTCTACCCATCTATATCTACCTGTCAGTCCATACAACCATCTACTAATGACATCTGTAGGCAGCCCACGTTTCGCAGATGTAGAACACCTTGATTTCCCTATGGCTGTCTTGATCCAGCCATATCTCTCTCTATCCATCCATCCACCCATTTCTCCATACATCCACTCATCCGTCTACCCATATTTCCATCCATCCACCCATCTATATCTACCTGTCTGTCCATCCAACCATCCACTAATGACATCTGTAGGCAGTCCACGTTTTGCAGGCGTAGAACAGGGTTGGGAGGATAATAGCTTTATAAAGAAGCACCTTGGTTCCCCTACAAATGTCTTGATCCAGCCATATATCCATTCATCCATCCCCTCATCCGTCTACCCATATTTCCTTCCATTCACCCAACTATATCTACCTGTCTGTCCACACAACCATCCACTAATGACATCTGTAGGCAGTCCACGTTTTCCCAAGAGATTTGCAGAATTTTTCGGAGGCAACGCTGATGGAATTATTCCATCAGCAAAACGCAACCCATCCTATATTGAGCGGAATTGACAGAAAAACTGCAATTCTCCCTTTCAGATAGAGTAAGGGCCCTTCCAGGCAGTCACTATATCCCAGGATCTGATTGCAAGTTTTCTGCTTTAGACTGGATTATATGAGTCCGCAATCTGAATTGCAGAACTTTTTCATGTGCCTGCATGCTGTTGAATGCATGGGACTTCCACTCTCCAGTGCATTCACCATGTGTTTTTAAATTAAATTATTAACAAATGCCAGCTTTGCACAGCTTCTCTTAGATTCCAAAGAGAGAGACTACACTGCCTTCCTCTCCACTTTTTGCTCCCAAATCTGGTTTTTCCTGTTGCCGAATCGGAGAAGTCAGCAGCCCTGTTGAGCCAGTTGGTTATGCCACAGTCGCTGGCCAATGTGGTCTGTGTTGAAAGCCAAAAGAATCCGGAAGCTTGGCCTCTACCCATATTGGATTACATATCCCATCA